TTAATTTGTTAGCCAACTAATTATTTTGTTTTTATTTCATAAAATGGCTCAATTTGGGAAATAAACGAATATAAACAAAATTATAAAATAATTATTTTTCATATACAGCGTGTCGTTACCATCGCGACAATAATTGAACACACGTCTAACGCTACTTGCCAATAATCATAAAAAAATATTAACGTTAAACAAAATCCATAATTAAAAAAAAATATTTTTCAAACAAACTAAGTAAAAAAAGAAACAAAATTTGTAACATCCTATACAACTCGCGCCACAGCGTCGCATTACAAGCCTCTCCTTCTAACAGTATGTTTTGTCTCTTTTAAATTCATTCAACCCATTCATATGCTTTGTGACCTTTACAAACGAACTTTACGTTACGCTTTTATAGGTAAGGGTCTTCTAAAATTCCTTGTTTTGGAAATTTTAGTAAATCTGTAAATATCGATGTTTAAAGAATTTAAATGTTTAATACAACTTTAAAAAGTTATCCCCTATATGTGTGTTCATTTATTGTCGCGATGGTAACGACACGCTGCATAAGATAAATTTTCGTTTTAGGGTGAACAATTAAATAAATTAATAAAAAAATAGATGACGTTAAAAAAATTCAATACTAAAAGTTGGTTTATTTACTGATAGACTGATCTCCAACTGTTTCAACTTTGACCAAATACAATAATATTTCGTTGTAATTATTTATGAAAATAAAAAAATCAACAATAATTAAATGGTAATTAAGAAATACTTCCAAATAAGAAAAACAACAACAAGTACAACAAAAAAATTAGGGATATGAACCCAATCCATAAAGAATGATGGTCCTATACACTGTATGTATAGGACTGAAGACCAATCAATTACGAGATAAGACATTGAAATTATGCTTTAAACAAATTAATTAACAACTGTTAATACATACAAATAGTTTATAAATACGCAATATGTGAATATATATTTTATAGTTTCGTGTATTCGAAGGTCTACTAAAATTAAAACTCTCAATAATAAATAAATACAAAACATATTTCGTAACGGTGAGCGGGCGATGAGCGGCATAGATCCATCTAGCAAGGCGCCTCAGCGCTCTCTGTTCAACGTGTGGAGTTGGAAGATAACCGAAATACCGCCGTGATGGCGCGGTGTTTTGGCCATCCCGTTCGAATGAATTTTAATTCATTAAAAATAATATTTACAAATATATTACTTCAATCAACAAATTAAGACAACAGTCCTTTTTATTAATATATTCTATACCATTTTTTGTTCATTTATTAAATCTATTTTTTTATTTGAATTTCACGTTTAAAGGTAGGTTCGTGATTTTTTTCTATTGAGAAAATATATCGAGAATATGCTTTGAAAACAATAGTCCATTAGAGTGTAAGATCAAGATTAACATATTTTTTTTTGCTTCTATAAAATGTATAGATTTTGTTAAAATTTTTTTTGAAAAACCTATTTTTACTACATACAACACGCCTTAAAATAAGAATTTTTTGAACTGAAAGAAAACCACAGTTGCCAGGCATCAAAAAATTTAATATTTTGGGAGCAGTTGTGAGCTATGTATTTAAACTTTACATCAGTCGCGATGATAAATTTATGATGAAATGGTATTGCCAGATCATACTCATGTATCTCCACTAATTTAATGATACAAAATCGACGATAGGTAGAAAAAAATAATGTTGTCAGATAATTCGTTATCGAAGTTTTATATTATTCTGTACAACCGTATTGTAATAGCCCTGGGAAGAATACTGGATACATCAATCTTTTATTCATCACCAATATCTTACCTAGCGCAAGGTATTCGTCAACGATTTCTGTTAGTAATGAATAAATTCATACACGACGATGACGTCTAGAAATTTACTTTTAGATCACTCGTTTGACTGGTCAGAAAAATACACGAAATTGTTTACATTAAACTAGAAAAATAAAATCGCTTTTTCTAATATAATAATATCATTTTATTCTTTCAACCGTGTTTTATTGCAAATCATCAAAAGATTTTTAAACTTTCAAAACCAATGATGAGCCTACATTTTCACAAAATATAAAGAAGTAATTAAAAATACTCGCTCGAGTTAATTATGATATTACGAGTATGTGGATGACATGTCTGAACAGAAAAAAAATTTAGGGTTTCGTCGACGACTTTTAGTCTTCTAGTCCTGGGATAAAGTGTTGTTGAATTTCATCAAGTTTTGTAGAAGGGTAGAACATCTTAGGTGGTTTTTAGGACTTTGTATTAGTTAAAGATCCATTAAAATATCACTCATATTATAAATTTGTAGCGACCAACGAGGTGTAAATATAAATGGTTATAATTCCATCAGTTTAGAGCTAATGCAGTTGAAACCCTGTTTGGAACCCTATTATTCTGTTTTTTAGTATTTTTTGCTATAGCAGTAACAGAAATACATCATCTGTGAAAAATTCAACTGCCTAACTATCTATCTCTACTCTATCATAGTTAATGAGATACAGCCTGCTGACAGACGGACAGAAAGACAGACAAACAGACAGCGGAGACTTAGTAATAAGATCTCATTTTATCCCTTTGGGTACAGAACCCTAAAAATTAAGGAGAGGTGTGCTGCTCTTGAACGACAACGCACCAGTCCACAAGTTGCACTGGCTCCCCGGCACAAGGTGGACTATATTTTTGATATTTTTAATCACCCACCCGATACCTGGCATCGAGTGATCATTACCTTTTCCAAAATTGAAAAAGAGCTTCGTGGAAAGAAACTTTCCACCGATGAAAAAATTAAAGAAGCATTTTCCTCGTATTTTACCAATATTAAAAAAAATCATTTTTTATGAAACTTCCAGGAGAATATATACTTAGTAAAAGAAAAATAATTTTCAGCTTTTATTTTCCCTCCCTGTTCCCCATTCCGTGAATTTTACGCCGCCCCATCTTATGAATGCGCATCACCTTTTTACTATTTTCCTGATTTTATCGCGTTTTTAAATTCTATTCTATAAATATTTTTAAATTCCCGCCGTTTCCACCCATTCCAGCGTTCTTCTTATTACTGATTTTATCGTAGTGATTCATTAGTAGTAATTCATTTTAGTTTCAATTTTATCATTTCTTTCCTAAGGTGTCAGTCATTCTATTGTTAACAATGAAGAAAGATCTATGTAATTGTGCAATATATTGAAGATTACCTTATTCTTTTTAATATTTTCGTTGATATTTACAGGAATTTCTTACGCAAAGGCCTACATATCCTTACTAATATTATAAACGCGAAAGTTATGGTATGGATGGATGTTTGTTAAGGCCCATTTACATGGTGCCAGTTTCTTGCCTGTTGTATACAATTAAATTGAAGCAATAAATGAGTTGCATGGTCTAAACAACAAATGGTCTAAACAATTATTGCGCGCAATTTATTGCATTCAATTATTGCTTTGTATGTACAAGAAAATGGCATCGTGTAAATGGGCCTTTACTCTTTCACTCAAATATGGAGTATGGATTTTAACGAAACTTTACAATAATATAGCTTATACATCGGAATAAAACATAGGCTATAATTTATATACATATTGTAATGTATATCTGTCTTTCTGTCTGAATGTTACGCCTTCAGCCTATTCTACGCAGACGTAGTCGCGGGCAGCAGCTAGTTATATTATATAGCTAAAGTTGAATTTCATAGTTTCAACAGTAAAATATCTAAAACAAAATGCACATGGTCGTAGAAGTGAAACCGTGGGATAACATTGATTTACTAACATTTTCTGAGGCAAGGTGAGGCATTTGTGTAAACGAAAAAGTATTTTTACTTTAACAAGGTCAGTAGTAATTGCATTATGGCCTGTAATTCTCATTAGCCAATAAATTTAAGGCTGAGCTCGAAGTTTACGTTTTTAACTTTAAAAACGTAAATTAACTTACATATACAAATTAATACGTGTATATGTGTGATATAGGAAATGGAAACATTTTGTAAGTTAATGATGTTACCAAAGTGAAGTGTTCACTAATAACAAAATGAGGTATTTGAATCTGGAAGTTCAATAGGTACATCATTGAGATGAATACATATAAAAAAATGTAATATAGTTTTCTAACTGTGGTAGAGCCACCCAGCGGCTTCGGCTATTGCACAAATGGGCAGACTCGTCCGGGGAAGGCGACGGAACGACCTCACAGAAGACCAGCGTGAAATGGAAATATTATACTTCTACGTTTCATCAAGTGAGAAACGTAACCGCGGCCCACTTTTTAATGTTGGCAACGCGTCTGCAACCCGTCGGGTTGTGGGTGTCCATGGGTGGCGGTAATCACTTGACATCAAGTCAAGATTAGTTATAGTTACATTTGTAACATAGGTTAATTTTACTCATTTGCAAACTATTTAAAAAAATGGGTTTAAACACACAACCTTTGTTTGTATATTCAGAGCAAAATAATTATAAACACTGGACGCTTCCATAAGGTCAATTGGGTCGTCGGACCGTCAGCCGTTACATGTGCTAGGTACGCAAAACGAATAATAGTCGTAGATAAATCATAGGACAACGGTGACTTTGGTGCAAATACGGCACGGTGGTCTGAAGCTAATTTTTATAACGGCCACCATACTATTCCTGGCTTGAATGTTCAGAAGCAGCTTGAATAATTAATACGTGCAAAGGCTATACGCCGTGTATACCATGCCCTCAGCATTGTGATCACGTCTCAAACGCGGATGTTAGTCCTGTGTGACCGGATTGCCGATGATTGTGTACAACGCTGTATCGAAACCAGTTGATTGGCACCTTCTCGCGTGATCAGATATCTGCAGCATTTGTTATTGATGAAATACCACGGGAAAATACACAAGTGCACGCGTATACATCAACTATCAAAGAGAATAGCTCCCGAGTTCGAATAGCTCGTGGTGGAATAAAAGAGCACCAAAGAGCGTTATACCCGTCGAACTGTTCCGATATCGAGCACCAAAACGGCGCAATACGGGGACGAGGCCATGACCGCGTGGACGATGTTCAGTTGGAGGAGACTCTACAGCGGGAGAGGTGAGAGCGTGGAGGACTCCCGAGTGGAGTTGCCGGCGGACACGAGACAGCTGGTCTACAACGTCTACGTCTACTTCAACCGTCGCCCCAATAGGAGCGCCGGGGCGTCCATCTCGAAAACGGCCCGCGCCACAATGCTACCCCGCGACATAGTCGCAGACATTGTACGGGACAAATACAGTGACCGAAACTGTGACAGTTGTTAATCGCGCATTCATAAGCGACTTCGCAAATGTGCCTGGCACAAAAAAATGTATAAAGAAAACTATTTATGGCATCAGATGGCCCTAGCGTCGGTTATCTTTTAGAATTTTCAGGTGAGTCAAATTTGTATTTTTCATAAAGAGCAAAGTAATATTAAAATGTAAATAAAAATTGTAACATAAAAATATTTGAGTTGATTTTCTTGGCTGCAAAGTGGAATTTAATTCTGTGTCTATCGAAAGATGATTTTTAAAAGTCATCATAATAATTTAATAAAATTAGTTTACTAATTTTTAATATGTCTTATAAACACTAACTGTTTTAAAGAGTGCTTGCTACTTAATTATATTGTAAATATCTATCTATGTTGTCTAAATTTCTAATTTTTACCATTCGGGATATTAATATTATAGCAAGTACCTAGGGTAGTTAATATGTGGACAAGAAAAAAACCGATTAACATGTTACGTAATAGAAATAAATAATTGTTGATAAATTTACGGAAGCTAAATAAGAAAATCGCTTCGATGTTTTTGTCTATGAAGAAACTTGTATTTTCCAAACAGTCGACGCTGATTCCAAAAATGTTTTGACATCATAACAATGTTGTTTTATTAAAGTTATTTGTGAAAAATCTTAATTTACTGTATGCTAAACATAACGTTATCAAAAGATGCACATCTTACTCGTAAGTGTAAATATAAAGAGCTTGTGTTCTTTGCGTATGATCTCATTAAGTGTAGATATGTCAGACGTCGACAACTGAAGAAAACATTTTCTGATGATAATAGTCAATTAAACATTCAAATGTAAGATTTGTGTATAAAGTGTAATATGGAATAAATATTTAAAAGAAATAACATACTTTTTTATTTATCTACCAAAGGCGTACACGAGTAAAATAATATTAAATAATAAACACCAAATGACGTTTTACACGGCAGGAATTTAAAAAAGTTGGATCACTCAAGGTTTCCTCGTTCCTCAGTGATAATAAAGCGGAAAACGAACAAAGGAAACTGCAGTATATAATATTACTGGCAAATTCCGTTAAAAACGAATCGCTGAGTAGTGGATAATTAAAGATTTTCCGTAACAGAACAAATTTAGGTCGGGTTTTAAGGAGTATAAAAAAGGAACCAAGCAATCCATTTTAATTAGTAAAACACAAAGCTTACAGATACTTTAGTCATTTAATTATATTTCGATAATGTTTCAAAGCTTTAAGTGTACATCATCATTAATTTTAGATATAAAGAATAATACAATTTCCAGTTACCTTTTAAGCAAAACGTCTTCGGATGAACGATTAAAAAGGCCGCCAAATATTAAGTATCTCAAACGAATTTCTTTGTTCCGTATTCACACAAAATATAGAACGACCAGGCAGCCATAAGCGATAAAACACACCAAACAACACCCGAACACTCAAATTGAAAACAATATCCGCACAGTAGACCACTATTTGCAAATCTCTAGTAACGTTACAAAACTTCGAAACCTATAAAACGCTCACTAAAAGAGGTTTCTAGTTAATCTTTCTTCGCACCACTCTTATCGGCCGACTTCCCCGTTCCTAGGTCTAAGGTATCGTCTAAGAATGTGGTGTTGGGTCGGCTGCCAAGTGCGAATGTAGCCAACATGTATACATCACTAATTACACCGATGCACTGACTATTTCAGGGGGCACACGTGAAACACTGATTCACTCCCGCAGCCGCGGCTTGAACGGTCCGACGGCATCGGCACTGGCGAAGGTTAAACGATCCTTGGATCGGAGAGCGATTGTTTGCCTCAAAACTGGACCGCTTTACTTTCCGTGTCTTGAAGTTTTAATCTTTCGCTCCCTTGTAAACGCCGGGAATGGCGATTAAAATCTCATACATGTCATACGTAAAACGTCGTTGAGAGTAAACCAACAAAATTATAGCTTATCAGAAAGCAAAATTCATCAAACAAGACTATTTAAATTACTGGCCGAAGGCAATGCAATGCTCATATTTAGTAAAATGTAAGAAAATTCATTTAGAATCTTTACTTCCTTATAGAGACATCTATCGTCGAAACGAAGCATTATATTAACTCGGTCGTAGATGGCGCTACATTCGAGCGAGACGGCCAAATGTCTGCTGATGTAGGTACAGAAAAGCTCTTACAATTTAATATAAATTTATTTCCTATGCGAGCTTGGAACTCCAACGTGGTTGACAGTAATAATGATATCCTTTTTGCAAACGCGAGCAGTGCCCATCTGCCAATCGCAAATACTTATGTAAGATTTGTTTCCACACGAAAGAAATAAGGAAACGGAAAAGTCACGGTCACGGTCGACCTTGGATCGTGAGTCCCAGTGACAAAGATAATATGATTTTATAAAGTCCATTGTCTTATTTTCTCTGATCGTATATTTAAAATAAGAAAATCGAAAATTATTCAGATCAAAGCTTGTTTCAACAACCCAATATTGATGACACCCGCCATATCCGTTATAATCTCCGATTATATAGCATAAAACGGTACAATGAATTAAGGTAAAGATAATTCGGGGGAACAAAACCAAATAATCTATGAACGAATGATACCCAAATAATCTATGAAGGATAATATAAATGATTATATTTATTATGATCACTGAATTGACTCTACAATAATCCATTTACAAAATTTTACAAGCTTCAACAAAGAAACGGGTACTAACACCAGCTTACTTAAAAGTTATTTTTGAGAGAGCATAGTTACAAACATAATGAAAGATAATAAGGCATAATTTTTTGATTACTATTAAAGTACTATAAATAAATACGCAATATTATTCATTTATTTTTAGACTTCTATATATTAGGTCGCATAGTTTCTAAACGCTTATGTATATTTGGCCAGTTTCATGTCGATTCTATTTTAAACAGTTCTAAAATTGGAAACAGGTAGTAACGTTTGAATCAATGCTTTTCAGTCATTTTTAAAGCATTGCTTTTCTACCGCAAGACATCTCGTGACACAAAAAATGGGTATATGTATAGTTAGTCAAGAAAACATCAATACCAATTAACATGATAAAGCACGATATGCTTAGGATTGCGTCAGAACGTTAAAGTGGGCGTTCAATTACAAGCCACCAAAATTAATTTAGCTAATACGATATTTGGCGGCGACGCCTGGGCGGTTCGGTGGGCGTAAACTTAGAAAAAGAATACATGGTCTCGGCATCGCGCTGAATACAGCAAGAGAGCTCGGCAAAGGAGCAAGTTTATCCGTTCATTAGAGAGCTACAGTGTTGGAGCATTCGCATCATCAGAGGTTACAGAGAGCGTAGATATAATGGACCACCAATATCACATTCATTTGACTGGACCAACAGCAAGTGTACAAGTAATTTTTATTCAAGCCGGTCTTCTACACAGGTGTAGAGGTAACCTCGTCTTGCAACAGCAGAATCTGCTGCGATGCTTTGCCCGTTAAGCAGCTTCATCTCATCATCATCATTTTTTCGTCTTTTTGAGTCAACTGCTGAACAAAAGCCTCCGCCACAGACCGCCACGAAGCACGATCCTGAGCAACCTGCATCCATCAACTTCCCGCACACTTGCAAATGTCGTCCCTCAATCTAGTGGGGGGTCGTTCCGCGATACGATGGCCAATACGGGCCTTTATTCCCAATCGAATATCGGTTCTTCGAGCAATACGGCCGACCAATTTCAGCTTACTGTACTAAGCCTCTGAGCTATGTCGGTTACCTTTGTTTTACTGGTAACCGACATAGCTCAGTCTAAATGAACTTAAAACGCAAGTTTTACTGTCGCAGGGCCACGCAGCAGCTTTGTATTTTGCACGAATGGGCAGACTCATCCCACTCCATGGATAACCGTGGCAAAGTGGAAATATCTTACTTTCAAGTTTCGTTTGGTGAGTGAAATAAACGCGGCCCAGTTTTTTAAAAGCAAAGTAAATGCAACTTTTCTGTAGGTGCTATGGGTGCTAGATGTCCACGGACGGCAGGCAATCACTCAAGTTCAGATGATTCACATAAAAAAGAAAGAAAACATTTCTCATTGACACAGTCTTATAAATGTCCAGTTTGTCCGGTGTTCGCTGTTACGTTGTGATCTTTATGAGAATAACGTTAAGTAATATTTTAACTCGGTTCTCCGAATAATCCTTGCTTATATGAAATTATTGTACCAAGAGGGGAGCATTTGTTATTAAGGTTAACGATTGTAGATTCCTACATAGACAAATCAGAGGCAATGAAAAAAGTGAGTATAAGAGCGGCGAAATATTTTAAAATTCTATCCAACAATACATTGGACTTTCCTAGTTTCGTGCTTGATGTCCCGTTATGTGTTTCAGAGAAACCTCGCCTTAATAGCGGAATATTGAAGCCGTGGAATGCAATAGGACTTCGGGCTCGCAATGAAACTAGTTGGAATAAGATACGACACGCGCCACGCATCCCATTTATCAATAGTTCGAATTCTTTATAACCGCCGGTCCACTTACTGCATCCTTTTTAGTTTTTAATCGGTACAGTTCGCATTATCGGAAACCATTAGGACGGCGTTAAAACCAGTTCGACTTCTACATCGTCCTTTCTCGATCCACTCTAAAGAGCAATCAAATATAAGTTTCGAGATGTCCACAGCTGAAGAATCTTTTTTGGAGTAGTAAAAAAAAAATAAGTAGTCGAATCGACAAATCTTTTTAAAAATTTATCACTTGGTTCGGAGTTTGGAAAAGTTTTAATATATTTAGTGTCAATTGGTCTATATTACATTACAATTCTTACTAATATTATAAAGGCGAAAGTTTGTATGTATGGATGGATGTTTGTTACTCTTTCACGCAAATACAATTGAATGGATTTTAATGAAAGTTTACAATAATATAGCCTATAGATCAGAATAAAACATAGTATATATTTTTATTTATATCTGCATTTCTGTCTGAATGTTACGCCTTCAGCCTATTCTACGCAGACGTAGTCGCGGGCAGCAGCTAGTAT